TAAACCACCCTAAACCTCAAACCCTTACCCTCTGAGGGATGAGCTGAGGGTTGACTTTTCACGACTATCACAACAATTCAAGTTGGGGTGGTCCCCAAATCAGGGTTACTTTTTGGGGTCCCCGTAAAAAAAAAAAAAAAAGCATTATGGGGTCTATACTGGAGTTCCCATTTATGGTACATATTAGCTTTCAAGCACATGCGGCTTGATGCGGAGCACGTGCACTTTGATAGAGATTTATTAGTACAGCGTCTTGCGCCAGAGATCAACTCAATAAATTCGACCCGAAGCCGTATAGATTTGCTGCAACGTCGGCAAGGTCCCCCAGATTGAGAGAAGCAGAAAGACAGTTTTTGGCTTTGGCGGTGGGCTTGGGAGGAGCTTCGGAGTTCGTGTTCTTCCACAACACGAGATCCCCCGCCCACTAGCGAGAGCCACTCCAAACAACCCAAAACCCTAAACCCCAAACCGCCCTACGCCGCAAGCCCTAAGCTCTCAGGAACATCAAAACCCGCCGTTCTGGCCTTCTTCTCCGTAGCTTTGGGGTCGGTGTAGCCTTCAAACCTGCAAGCTGCAGGTGCTCTGGCGGGGCTTCAATTACCTGATACTAGGGATTAGGGTTTAGGGATTAGGGTTTAAGGTTTAGGGAGAAGGGTTCAGGGAGAAGGGTTTAGGGGCTTATGGGTTTAGAAATACCGTCCGCAATAACAGAAAATCATATGGAAGAGAAAAATGGACATGAAATTGGACACTGGTATAATAGGGTTTAGCAGGTTTCAGGGTAAGCTCAGCTTGGAGGTCTTGGATCTTCCAAGGTAGCGACGGCAACTGCTCCGAAAACCGCGGTCTCCCGTATATCCCCCCACAACTCTATACTCCTTCCTGGACCCCTAAAGTATATCAATGTTTTTTAAGGGTTTAGGCTATCATTTTACATACTTTTAGGGTTTAGGTTATTGACCTCCGAAAAGGGCACCATGATGCTTTGGAAACCACGATTTCAGGTCGGGTTCTTGTGAAGAATGTAGCCTTGCGTTGGCCTGATTCTGGCTTGACTTGGATTTGCTTGGGAATGAAGGAATGGAAACGAAAATGAAAACTATCTAGAGTGTAGGGCTTAGGGCTTCGGGAATGGAAAAAGAACATGAAAACTAATGTCTCATTGGGGGATTATGTGCGGCTTGCTGATAGGGATCCATTCCTCCCATACCCGTCCTAATAAGTCAGCAACCATGAGCTGTTGAAGCAAAATCTTTGGCCTCTATCTGCGAAGTGTCAAGAGCTCTGTGCTTTCAAGACCAAATCTGCTAGAACTTCTACGCTCATAATCCTATCATGCCTACGCCTCAAGGGAGCCTGTCCATTGAGAATCCCCCTGCAGAGCTCCCTGGAAGACTTTGTGCCTTCTGGTAGGATGGCTATTGTCGATGGGACAGATCAGCTCGCCTCGGCCACTCTTTTTCGGAAAAGCCCAGAAGGCTCTGCCACTCTGGTTCTACAGGTATGGAATCTTCTTTAAGTCATGCATCTCAGCTTTGGGGAATGAAAAGACATACAGCATGGCAGCTATTTAATCACAATTCAAAGCGTGACATAAGGGGGTCCCGTGGAAGAAGTAGTCTTGCTGATTTTGGAAACGCCCTGCGATGAGTTAAGGGCTCCTGATCCGGAGCCCTCTTAGAAACAGGATAAGACTAGCACGCTGACAGTTTCTTAGGCTTAGAATACAGAGATGGCGACAGATCGCCCTACCGAACCCAAAGCTTTCCAATGAAACTCCAGATGGGTCACAAACCCTGAAGCCTTTAAGTCTAAACCCTCGCAGCACTAAATCACAAGCCCCAAAGCCCTAAACCACGAACTAAGCCCTAGACCACAAGACCTAAGCCGAAACCCTGAGCCCTTCTCCCCAAGACCTTAACACCCCGCCCCCCTTCTGCCTTGGGCGCCCAACCCGCCTCACCTGGTGCGGCTTCAATGCCTGGCAAGCGTGAACCCCCAAACAAGCACTTTCAGCTTCATATTCAAGGTTCTAAGGATTAAGGACTGAAAATTACGGCGAGTGCGATTTTTGGCTTAGGGGTATCGGGACTAGATAGGGGTTTGGGGGCTTCGGCTTTGGTGCTTAGAGTGTAGGGGTTTGGGGCTGAAGGATTAAGGCGTAGGAGTTTGGAGCATACGGCACATTGGCACATCGTCCTTCTAGAACCTTTGGAACCTACAACCCTTAACCCTAAAACCTACAACCCTAAACCCTTAACCCGAAACCCTAAGCCCTACAACCCTAAACCCTAAACCCTTAAGCCCAAGCTCTCTGTAGCATCTTTATAGGCTCGAGGCGGACTCTAGGGTTGAGCTGGGTCTGGTTTGTCGGCTTTGCTAGTTTCAGGGGAACCCATTATACTCTAGGGATTAGGGTTTAGGGTTTAGGGTTGTAGGTTTTAGGGTTTAGGGTTTAGGGTTTTAGGGTTTAGGGTTTAGGTTAGAAGGGATAATGGAAAAGACAATGGAAACTACTCCAGGGTTTAGGGTTAATCATTCCCAGACCCCCTAAAGGATCCAAAAACTGGAACACCCCAAAATGACCCCCATTACTACAGTGGGGAAACTAGGAGATTACTGGGAGGCTCCATAATCCTTGTGATAGTCTAGTATAGATCCCAATTTTGCATAATCCTTACTATATTATAATGTCAAAAACCCCAATATGCTATTATCCTTAGTATAGGGACCCCCCAAAAGGTACCGCTAACATTGTGGAAACCCTCTTTCAGGGTTTTGGGATGGCGGCCCCAGGTAGAAGATGATGCCCAATCGCACCAAGAAAACATGCTTGTCGTCTCAACGGCCGGTCTAGGGTTTAGGATTAGGGTTTAGGGTTTAGAGTTTACGGTTTAGTGGCATGTCAGAATATCTGAAAAGAGGATGCGTGTATATGGGCGCATGTGTATGTATAGAGGCAGGCATACAGCAGAATTGCAATACCGCGCCAAAAAGCGCGTTGTAACTCCCACTCCCGACAACAAAACCCCTCACAGCCCCCCCCACCCGAATACTAGACCTCAATTAAATCTTCAACCTCAAACCCTACAACTCTGGGATCCTTCACCAGGGGCCAGACGCTCTTGGGGGCATGGAGACGGGCATTTTTGTTAAAGCCTGCTATCAGAAAACACGAACAAGAGCACGGCTCTGAATCTAAAAATTCTGCAGCCGCCGAGGAGCAGAACCCATTGGATGCGCGGACAGGAGTCTCTGTGTCCACATCAAACTTGACAATCTTAAACTTGAGAACCTGGGAGGTAGCTAGGGGAGCAGCGAGGCTTCTGATTGAGGACTCGCCGAGTGTTTGAGGGATTTGAGGGTTATGGTTTGGGGGTTTGGGGTTCGGGGGATTTAGGGGTTTGAAAGGTCTAGGGGAGTTTGGAGCGTGGGGTTGATGGAGTTATGTTCCAGGTGTCGGGATTTCGTTTCGATTTTTATGTGGTCTTGCTCTGTACAGCGTGCCCCTATGCAATCATTGCCAGTTGTGTGCTTCTCACATTGAACCTAACGTCCCCAACACGGACACGATGAACACCTGCTCATCCATTGAATGGGTAAAGACCATCACTGCTTTGTCGACTAGCGCTCGAACCTTTCACTTCAAAGCTGGGTGCTAACACGTCAAAACTAAGAGACAATTTTGAGCGGGTTCGCACGATCAGGATCCTAGAATTGAAAGTGAGCGTGGCCAAAACATGCTAAGAATTCCTAGCCAACTTTGAATGACGCCGGGCAAGCCAAAAAAAACAACGCATAGTTGATCCTCTGCAAGGGCACTAGATCATGGGGCCTGGCAAGAGCGCGGTTGCGCGTGCCAAGACATACGCCCAAAACCTGGAGATTCTGGATGTAATGAGCCACACCACGCTGAATCAAGTTGAACCCCAAAATCTCGTCGCCAAAAAACAAGGCATCACCAAATCCTCAACTCCAGTTCTGGGCTACCCAAATTCAAACTAGATGTCCCTACATACCCCCATATGCCCCACCATATTGCTGATTACGTGGCCTTTTATAACCCAATTGTGGGCTCCCATCTGCCTTGTCAAAGAAGAAGCCTCCTTTGCCGATTGCTCCGCGTGAGGCGACATCGGCCTTCCTGCTTTTGGACAATACGAGTGCGCGGTTGTAGGTCTTTCGGGGGTTTTCAAGGTGGGGGGTTGAGGATTGGAGATTTGAGATTTGGGGTTTGGGAGCTGCACCCTAGACCCTTGGCAATGTATGGGACTACAATGGGATTCTGTGGTCCCTGTGAGCGATTACCTAAACATGCCCTTGACAAACTCCCGTTTAGCTTGCGTAGGGGTCAGGGGTTTTCAGATAGGGTTCAAATGGCAGCCATGGTTACACCTTCTGTGCTAGGATCTTGCTGTGTTCAGGAAGGTTTCGGGTGTGGTGTTCGGGATTTGGCATTTAATGCTGGAGGTCCAGCATGTGAGCGGGGCTCAGAAATTAGGACTTGCGTTTAGGGATAAGGCGTTTGCTTTAGGTTTGGAGTTTGCATTTTGGGGACGCAGGTCGAAGGATCAAGCTGAACTCAATCTGACAGTGTCATGGACCAATTCCGACACAAACTTGCTGGCTCCTGCAATAGTTCAGGAGGGCGCCATTTCCCTCAGTGGCACCATAAAACCTCAGTTGGGCAACAGAATGCCAGTACCCTTACCTAGCAAGCAGCCGCTATCTCCCAGGTCAAAGATATAACTAACCCCTATGCAATCTATTGTAGTAGTTTCCATTTTATTTTCCATCATCCCAATATAGGCCCAATATACTATAATAGTTTCGATTTTCCATCATCCCAATATAATCTCAAAATACTCCTTGATAGACCTGCAGTTTCCCACGTCATACACTCGCAGTGAGAAAAAGGAACAAGACCTTATACTGTAGTCTGCTGGAGCCATAAAAAGAAGCTAGAAAAGTGAGTCGACGGCGCAAAACATGAGGCAAAACGCGGAAATCTCTTGTCAAATCTTGCAGGTGCAAGGGGCTCAGTCACGACAGGGATGTTGAACTTGTCTTGAAATTCATCCCACACTTCAGGCCTCCAAACAACAGGCCAGGGCCCATGTCATGTAGGACTCAAACGATGCTTTCTGGATCCATGTGCGGCCACTTGAGAATTGCAGACTCACGGTCATCCTCTTACCTACGGGCCCCATGACATTTACCCCTACCACCATCATGTTCACAAGTTCTGACAACTACGTAAACTACACAATAATTGTCCCCTAGCATGTGTCGGATGTTTTGAGGACCTCGTCTTCGGTGCGCAGCAAACCAAGCTAACATTGCTCTTATCGGTTTCGGGGACTCCTATGAGCCGAGCAGTTCGGAGCCTGAGTCCATTTCCCACCGCCCCCTTCAGCTTGTGAGGTATCCGGGTCACCTCTGGATGTTCCCTGGCAGCAGCAGAAACAGGATTCTCTGGATTTTTGGAATATGCAGAGATTACTTGGGGCGTGTCCAAGAGTTCTGGGTATATGATGCTTGGAAGACTTGATTAAATATGCATACAACATGCCGAATTCGAAGTTTCCCCACAAACAATCTCTGGCATGAAGGGTCAAAAGATGCCATTTTCATTATTGTTTCTCACCTTCAGAAAATTGAAGTTTTACGTAGATACGCTCAGAACGGGGTTGAGGTGTACATTCTACTGTAACTGTATACTATGCTTATGAACAGGGACCTTTCATGCTTCTGCATTACTTTACATCGCACCGCTTATTGCAAGGCGTAGCCTTTCAACATCTCAAAGAGGCAGCAGGAACTCCAAATGCACTTCGTGGTCACAACTTCACATCTTCTTCTTGACATGCATGTGGAACACAGATTCTACACCTCAATCCTGAAAGCCTCAAGCCGTAAAATTCTACCCTCCCCCAAGCTGACATGGAACCTCATGTAAGCCCCATTTAGTAAGACGGTTGTCTTCATAGGGATTGGGGGGTCCATGTTCGTTTAGGAGAGCGCACTCGGCAGCACCTGGCGTAGTTCACCAGATATCGGCCAAGCTCTCCTGCGAAGTCATGATGGAAGGACTTCCGCGTGGGGTTTAGGGTTTCGGGTTTAGGGTTCAGGGTGTCCACGGGGGGGACTCCTACAGTCTAAAATCCCTGGGTGTGTAGCGTTCAGCTTTGATAAAGTCCCATGCAGTCACAGCGTTAGAGTTGAGGGCTGAGGATTCAGGTCAAAGCGTTGGAGGATTGAGGTCCCCCTAGTACTTGTCCCTGGGATCCTTAGATACCTACCATATGCCCTGGATGTACTTTTAAGGGTCTAAAAGGCTTAAGGCCCATACCAGGGGCCCATACTTCTAATCATTTCAAAGCCCAAACCCGAAACCTGAAAATCTGAAGCTAAACCCCCAACCCTAAACCTTAAGATCTACACCTAAAACCTAAACCCTGAAACCTGAAAAGTCTGAACCCTGAACCCCGTCCTATGTACTGGAAGGCCGTGCAGCCTTGCTCAGAGATTTCAGTCCAGAAGCCTCAGCTGCTTTACTTGCTGCTAAAGGGTGTATAGGTTTAGGGTTTAGGGTTTAGGGACTACATGTACTACAGTCTAAACTCCCTTAAAGTGGGCTTATATGGGGACTATTATAGGGGATATTAAGGGGGATCCAAGCGAAAGAATGGAAAGTCTCGGACCCAGCAACTCAGACAAGCTACGGCTGGCGCTGAACTTCCGCGCTAACACCAGCGTGGCACCTGACCTTGTACCCAGCATCATGGCATCATCAGAAACACCGGAGTTGCAAGGATATGAAACAAAGACAGAAGATCCTGATGATGGTTCTTGAGGAGATTGCAGCGGGGGGAATTCCAGGAGGCTGTGGGGTCACTGTTCGGACTCGGATGACAAGAACTCTTTCGCGAGAACTCGGACCATACGCACGCCCTTCCCCATTCGAAGCAGTAGCCACGGACTCCTAGCAACTAGGCAGCCAGCACGAAGCAGGACATGGTCCCCAGGCCACCACCAGCGCTGTGGTAGAGCGGCAAGCAGGTGTAGAGTCGGTCTCCTGCACAACCAGATGTGGATTTCAACCTTACATGCAAACTAGCACCGCTCCATAGAGAACGCTCTTTGTGGGCCTGCAAATACATTCCTCGGCATTCCCCAGGTACAGTTCCGAGAACAACTTGGGAAAACTAACCCAGGGCCGTGCAAGCGGCAGTTGAAATGAATCAGTGTCATCAGGTACAGCCAGCCATGCAAGAAGAGCATAATTTGAAAATGCCCCTTGAAGACGTCCTGGGCCCAGGCCGAGAATGCTGCAGACACCGCCCAAGCTGTACATTCGCGCATGGAGCATCTTTGCAGCCTGCGCACGCATGCCCAGCTGCTGTCAGAAAACCAATGCGCAGATCCAGAACAAAGGGAACATCAAAACCATGCGAATTTTGCGGGGTTCGCAGTTCTAGAGCTATGGCTAGTGAATGATAGTAGCTGGTTGCGCCACTACAAGTACAAGTACAACTACAACAATTCCTCCTACTAATGGCAGTGCAGCAGCACGAGCAGCACCAGCAGCACCAGCAGCAGCAGCAGCAGCAGCAGCAGCAGCACTGGTCCTGTGCTGCAATCCGTGCATCAGCGTGATCACGCCAAACTAAAAAAAAAAAAGAAACTGCCACAAGACTTGCACAGTCAATACAACCCAGTTGCTACTTTCCGATCAAACCCTGAACCACGCTTCAAAATTGATATGCAATACCCAGCGAAGAACCCCTAGATGACTGAAGCACCACATCCAAAACTCCGTACGCTAGACCCGCTCCAATATGTTTGCCTCAAATAAGGGGACCCCAATCTAGACCCCAAAATACTATCATCCTTATTTAGGGGACCCCAAAATGGTACCCTAATTTAGGGAAATCCCCGTATGGCAAGGAGAGCAACGCGCCTTGGGCAAGCCTGTCGTGCCACTGGTGTAGATGTAGCCAAATGTGTCACTGAACTTGATGCCTCATGCTTCTTAGGCTGTCAGGGTTGAGAGGTCAAGGATCTAGGGTTCGGCTTGGAGACATAGGCTTAGAAGGTTTTGGAGGGTTGTTGGGCACCCCTATACAGACGAACGCCAGTTGCGCACAGTCCAGCACAGAGTTGCGAACAGGCGTCACGCGCCTTGTCTGAGCTGAGGGAATTCATCGCCTGCCGATGGCGGACTAGAATGAGAAAAATACCAAGAAGTCATCATGAAGGTGACACAGATAGTGTGCTCACACTGCTACCGGCCCACCGAGCAAACCAACAACCCAACCTGCGTTGCATCGCCGATGCACGGACACACATCATTCGTCACACAATCCCTTGTGAGGCTCCACGTTTAAGTTCAATGTACGCCTGCAGTTTCTTTGCATATGCAGAACTGTTGGTCGAGCCACAGTGCAGATGACCACTTCTGCAGATCAGGATACTAGGCTATGATGCGCGCAATCGTGAAGCCCTTTCTGCACACCAGCCCCCCAACAAAAAAACTCACGTCTGCAAATTCTCTAACCGACTCTAACCCTACCCCTAAACTACTGGCAACCATGTGACTCCTATATAGTCCCATGATCACACCCATAGAACCCTACATATGAGCTATAGTCTAAACTCCTAGCATCCCCCTTAATAACCCCTACAATTCTCTCCCCTAGATAATCCCCTACATAACCCCCCTTGAAGGAGTTTAGACTATAGCTCATATGCCGAGAAAGTCCAACCGTAGTCAACTCTTGAGGCCCTTACAAAGAGGCGCAAGCCTCCCAGCTGAAGATTGCAGTCCAGTGTTCAGGGGCTTACTGTAGGCCTTAGGGAAAAAGTCCTTGATACCCACCCTGTAGAACCACTGAAGACTCCCCGAAACCCTAAACTCCCCAAGTCCCCACCACCCCCCCACCCTGTAACAGTGGTAAACTAGGAATAGAAGAGGGCCCTAATATTATCACGAGGCCCTAGTATAATCCGCATTATATATCCCTAAACCCTAAGGGCTGCCTGAATAGGGCAATCCCAACAGCTGGTCGTAGTCTACAGAAACCACGGGCTGCTGGAAGCTTCTCCGAGGCATGCCTGGCAAAAACAACGTTTGATACTAATAGAATAGTAGCAGTATAAGATGATAATATAGCAATATGGTAAAATGATGTAGCAACAGTAATTTAATGATAGTAATGTAGTGATAGTAATATAATGATTATAAGGGCTTCTTTTTGACGAAATGTGTGGTCATGATACAGGAGTTTAAATTTTCGCGTCTTACTGAGTGTAGCTTGCAGGCCCTGTTGTGTGGTTCGCTGTTTACCGGTCCAGCGCTTAAGTTTCGGAGTTTGCGGGGTTGGGGGTTTAGGCCATGAGATCTGTTGCGGGATTATCTGGGGATTGCATCGCGGCTTCCAAAACCATGGGCTCGCGTCGAGGTGACGTGATATTCATTATCCTATGGTTACGCGACATGGAGCAATGTATAGATGCAGAATGGCCACCAGAGTCCAGGAACTCCCATCTAAGCTTGGAAAGTGGGTCAGGTAAATCCCAGAACTCGTATCCTTGGGATCCACGCGTGCTTCGGCACCGCAGAAATGGGCTTCCAGAACTGGAGCTTGAAAGC